TTGTCTCATTTTCACCCTTTAAAAACTTCGTTTACGCTTTTCTTATAGTTACTCCCTTACATTTAACTTACTCTCCAATTTTTATTTTTGTTAGGATAAATACGTTTATTTATCATAATGAGCTTACGATGATTAATCTAATCCATGTAATGAGATTGAGACGTGAACATTCATTAATGTGAAAAAATTTGATTTGTATCAATAAAATAATGATGAGTGAATTGTAATCTATTGATAATGCTCAGTAAATCGTAATTTTAAATATCTGAGATTGTATCGTTTTATCAAAAAAGATGAATTGACTCTTTTGGAGTTACTATATAGCATATTATCGATCTTTATCAGTCGTTGACATTCATTGTTTCTTCGCCACTTATTTCTTCACCGAGAAAAAATATAAGAAGAGCAAGGAGAGAAGCGTATTCCCGGCTTATTTTGTATTTTGTCATGGAGATATAGGCTTGTGATAAAATATTCGCATTTATTTCGTTCGTTACAGGTGATGAACTGACATCGTATTCGTAAATATGTCACATCGCAACTCACGTGGATTAAACGTTAACGACGTGAACATTTGGCACAGATAAGACATACTGACTGTACATACTGTCTGTATTTACTGCAGTTTTCTACTATATGACTGCGACATTTTTCTCTATACGATTCCAAATATCCAACTTTCCATCTCATTCAAATAAAAGATTAACACATACACATAAACGGCATTATTGTTTTAATATTTAGGTGTTATATCAAATTTTAAATTCACACAAAATTGTAACAATCGTTAACTATTTAATTATTGACAAATAATTCTTTCATTATTTATCAGTTTGTTCCGAAACTGGTTCAAGTTACGATCAATTAGTATTTTAAAGATAAACACAATCTAATATTTTGTCTAATAACAATATTATAATATCATTAAAAATAAATTATTGTCCATTAACTAAAGAATCTCATTTTTATAAAAATAAATATATATAAATATATAATATAAATATATTACATGAACGTTTAGACATAAAATAACAATTTATCTTATTTTATATCATTTTCATTTTATTTGACAGTTTATTAATTTCTTTCTCTGCAAATTTGTTTTTTAAAATATAATTTAATTTTTTTGTTTAAAAGTGATTATTTTGCATCGTGGCAAATTCCAGAATGTTGTCAAACATTTTTAAGACATTGTCTCTGTAACAATGCCTATACACATTGCGAAAACACAATGTATTTTCCGTAAGCTAATTATGGCCGATAAGATGTGTCTGCGAATTTTTGTAAAAGTAGTTGCAATACACCACGTTTGCATACGGATACGTAAAACGCATATTTGCACAAGAAATTATCAATGTTTCAAAATGTGATAACGATTACCTTGTGCGTCTGATTTAAAAGTGGCTGAAAAAAGATTCTTCAGAGAAGAGTACAGTTTACAAACAATAATCATTCTTGCAAAAATGCATTGCTACAATTTCTACAAATATTTTATTATTGCATGTACGATGATTGCAGATAATACGAACCTTGAAATGGACGAGATAGATAATGATTGTAATTTATTTAGAAAGAAGAAGATAGGGAGACAGAAAGTATAAAAAAGATACTCGAAAAAAGAGATTGGAATTTCAAAAGACGTGACTGATATCGAAGTCACTGTTATAAGAGAAAGACTTATCATGTAGAAAGTTCTCTTTAAAAAAAATTTCTCTAATGTCTTTTAAAGTGTGTCACGTGTCTGAAGTATTTGATGAACTAAAAACAACGATTGTATGTGTTATTTGATCAATTCGATAATACATAATAGCGTACTCTCATTATAATTTACAGCACTTATCTGGGAAGGATTTATCTCCTTTTTGCATAAGTAAAATATAAACAAAGGTTTAAAAAAATGTGAATTATAAAATAATGATGTGCTTTTTTTATGCTCTCGTTGTTGCCCACTGTTGTCGTCCATATTCACGACGGTCCCAGAGAGCCCATCGTTTCCAAGGGAGACTATTATATCATAGTTGCGACGTTGTAAAATGATTAATTACTTATACCAATAAGCTTGTAATGTTATTGCACGTTCGTTACTGCCGTTAATCAGCAGCAACAAAAAGACATTATTTATAAATAACGCTGTGTACATCATAGGATTTTCTCCTTTAATTAATATAAGACATTAATCCTATTATTTATATAGTAGAAAGTTGGAAACAAATACGCGATGATCGCATTTTTATAGGTTTTTAAATGAAATTCCATTTAATCGATACTTAATGCAGAATAATTAAATAATACAGAATGCTGCAATATATTTAATCTTCCTGATATAAATATTGTGATGTTTAAATTAATTGAAATGACATTTAAATGTCAAATATAAATTCAACAAAATGATGAATGTAGTGCTAACGTTTTTTTCATTCTTTAAAAATTTTATGACAGCATAGAATATAAAATAATTTCTACAATGCTATTATATATTCATATATTATATTATTCATTATGTTACTAATTCTATTAACTTATCGTATATAAGGAAATAGATAATCAAAAGACGATATCATTTCGTCTCGAGTATACAATTACCTAAGATATTTAATGTTGCTTCTTCAAAACGCATTGCGCAAGTCGAAGAATTATATCTTGCTTTTATTACGTCTTCATGTTAATTAGGTTAACTTAAAACTCCTTTGTCGTCAACTTGAATAAGCACGCGCAATTGTTTGTAAATGGTACGTGCACAAAAAGATAGTATTTAAACTAACAAATAAATCAATTTCGATAAATACAAATAAAAATAAAAATAATTGAAGATACGAGTTGAAATAAAGTAGAAAAAAGTGATGACTTTATATTTATTCTAAAATAAATGAATAAAAAATGAACATAGAAGAGACTAAAGAACAATTAATTATATTATAGATGTTTCGATCTGTATTAAATCTTCTCTAGCATATAAATCTTACAATTAGCAAAGAAAGCAAATAAATAATCGTGAAAAAATTAATAATATAAATTAGAACAAAGCGCATAATATAGTGACAAATATAAAATATTAAATTAAAATAAGAAAAATAAAATAAAATTTTTAAAATATATTTCTAAGTGACTAGGATTAAAATAAAAAAATGTTAATTATACAAAATAAAAATGTATATGCGCCCCTCTAATCGATATATACTGTAAAGTAAATAACAAATATTAGCAGAAAAAATAAAGAATGTAACTTATTCCTCATTAGGAATAAGAATGTGTTCGATTCAAGTTGAAGTCCATTATCAGAAATAAATATGCATAAAAAGCAATGTCAAACAAAAAATTATTCCATCAAAATGTGTAAGATTTAAAGAGTAAAAATATATCTGTAATACAAAATAATCTGTAATATAAAAAAAATATTATGAAAAGTCTAAGAAAATTATAATTTCAAAGAAATTTTTCATGATCACAGGGAAGAGTATTTATAGCCAGTTCTTTGTTGCACTTTCATTGCAGTTTGCACTTGACTTCCATATTGAAGAATACTCAAATCAAAAGTCAAAACATTTGCATTTACTTTAACTTCATTTGATATCTACATCTCAATTATGAATTATATTATATCGCGTGAACATGTAATTTACGTACTAACAATCATGAAGGCTCACAAACTTCCCAGATAGCACACAATATTTATAAAATATTGTATTTATAAATATTTATAAATATATGCAATATTTATTTTTAATATTTTTGTGGTCTTAGATTGCATAGATCATTTATTATAAATATTATAAAATATTTATTGTAAATGTTACAGTAAATGCTATGAAAATACTTAATGAGACATTATAATCCAACTAAAAAATACTTATTAGAAATATTTATTTATCATAAATACATAAAATATTTAGTCTATATTTTAATAATATTTTAAATAAAGCTTTATATAAAATATATATGAAATATCTATAACATTTTAAAAAATGAATATTAATAAATATTTGTCTTAAATATTCTGTACTGTTTTTCTGGACTGTTTTACTATTGAAATTTTATTATTTTACTTATTTATACTTATTAGATATTTATTATTTTACTTTTTTATTCGACTTCACTTTTAACACATTTTTAGCATATCTTTAACTTATACTTCTATGATGATGGACTATAACTTGGATCTAATCTTCTCGCTTCCTAATAAGGAATAAAATTAAATTCTTTATTTTATCTTCTTTATTTTATCTTCTTTATTTTATCTTATTTTATATTTGACATATTTTTATTATTTTTAATTCTATTATTTTTGATTGTATTATTTTTGATTATATTATTTTTATTATTTTCGATTATATTAATCAAATTAGAAGTTTATACACATTTATTTTATATAATTGACACTGTTTCTGACTTTAATCGTAGCCTCTTTATTTCTTTAGTCTATTTTTATTTTAAATTATTTCGTAATTGGTTATTTTATGTATTGTCACCATATTATGCTTTGTTCTCTCATTCTTCTAACTTATATTATTATTAATTTTTTCATATTTATTTTTTGACTTTTATTTCTGATATTGATGTGCTAAAAAAGACTTAACACAGTTGAAACATAATATAATCAATAATTAATTATTTTTTATTCTGTCTTTTATTCATTTTTGTTATTCATCCATTTGAGATAAATAAAGTTTCCCGATCTTGTTTTAGTTCGTATGACCATTTTTTATCTTTATTTGTAATTCGATGTTTATTCTGCTTGTCCTTCGTCCGAATTAACTAAGGAGCAAACATTCTCAAGTGGGGCGAGTGGCAACAGCGACAAATTTGACGAATCGCTGATAAGAAAAGCGCTGATAAAGAACATATATAATCTGTGGCGACATGAATATGTTCTATATTCCATCTGAAATGCATTAAAATCCGAGTGTCGTTAGACGTGGAGATTCGTCCTTCCTGGTAGCATTAGCGTGTTTCATCGTTATCTCTGTAAGCATAATATCCATTAAAATTTAATAGAACTTTCCGTAAAAATAGCTTAAGGGATAAAATTGGACTAAACTTTCGATTTATAAGATTGATATCATATTGCGAAGCATATTTTGTAAATTATGGTGTTATATTATTAATACCTATACAGATTATTCTAACGATATTTACAGCAATATTGCAACGTTTCATGTTAATATTGCAGTAACATTTCAATGTTGTAATGTTATTGCAATATTTTGTACTGCATGGATATTGGTAAATGATTGATCCATTTTGCTTTAAATTTTTATGAGATGAGTGACGTGTGCGTACTTTCTTTCAAACGGCGCGACATATACCGAGAATTTCTTTTATATCTTTTAATAGCTGAGAGAGAATCCATATTTATGTTTTGTCTATCAGTTTTGTCGTATCAATTTCTTTGTCAACTAACTAAAGGAGCTACGTGATGCGTACTGGTATTTCGATTAGGACAAAGAGGTTTAGAAAGTCGTGAACCATTGCTAGAAAGAGTCGCGAAGAGAATTATGATTTATAACCGCAATGTAAAAACGAGTGTGAGATCATTAGAGTTATTTTTTTAAGTTTTTATTAAATTATGTATATTAAGTTTTTCTTAGATTCTTTGTATAAAATAATAGAATATACAATATATTCCTACAAAGAAAGAGTATATTTTTTATAATATCGTACATATCTAATTTTAATATAATCGTGTCTGTACTTTCTTAATAATAAAAAAATTCTGATTCTTTCTTCAGTCCTTCAATAAGAAGAAATAAAAGATGGAGCTGTCCCGTGTTAAACGGTGGTCTCAATATTTAGCAGCGATTACAGGTAAACAAATCTGAATTATTTTTAATTTTTTTAACTCTTATGCTAATTTTCCAGACATAAGTTCCCAAATTGAGCAAGTAGTCGATCCAAAAAAATTAATAATTTGAAACTTTAAAGCTTAATAAAGATTATTAATAAAGTATAATAATTAATTTAAATTAAATTTAGAAAAAATGTCAAAAGAGAATATAAATGTTATTTTTACTTTGTCAGTTACAGATAATAATTGTATAATTATTCTGTTGATTCAGTGTGATTATCACGTTGAAATTATAACCATGGACTTTGAAAATTTCAGAATTAAAAATATTCAAAGTCCAAAGCACAAGAAGTATTGATCAAATTAGAGTTTATATTACAATTACTGCTTTTATTGTAATTTTGTACGATATGATATAATTTTCTCACACAACTCATGCCTATCCTACATTTCCTAAATGATAACTTATCGCGATTGATTTACATTATTTAAAAAAAGATTATATAATTAATCTCTCTTCCATCTATATACAGAGTGTATCTATATACTATATCTATATATAGTGTCTCATGTTTAGCGACCTTCTTCTAAACTTTTATTTATTTTCAATTTTGGAGAAAATGTTCACACACACACACACACACACACACACAAAAGCACGATTTAGAGGGATACAAATAATGATAAAACAAATAATGATATTTTAAAAATCCATTTTTCAAAATCATAAAAATTATCACTATTTTAAAAACAGAATTTTATGATGTTTTTACATAATATGATTTTTTGCATAATATGATATTCCCCTAATTAGTCTGCGTATAAAAGAATTAAGATAGAAATATAAAAAAACAATAGCTTATAAAATATTTTATAGCAGACTTTAAAATGAAATATAAAACATTTTGCAATCCATTTTTTAATAACTGCATCTTAATATTATAATGCACAGAATAATGAGATAAATCAGTCTAAAAAGAACACGTAAATTGCTTTTCAAAAAAGATATGTGATTGAATATTGCAAAGTGCATAATTTTTGTAACAAGTTGTTGCGATTGTCACTAGTTTTGCGTTTCAAGACTGAAAATATTTTGGTGCACAGTTTGGATTCGAATATGTATATAAAATTCACATCAAAATATTCAAGTTAAGATCTAACTTATACCGCTTTTATTATTTAGCTTTGTCTGAAACATTTTTTTTAAATTTTTTAATTGAAAATAAAATTTTGAGGGTAATATCGTAAAAGTAGAACACCAACTATATATAAAAATCCATTTCAGAGATCATTTTGTAAAAATAATTCATATATGCATAGAAAAATCAGCTGAAAAGCAGCGTAAATCATGATTTATTTATTCGTTCAATTTTATCGTAGCTACCTTATCGCTGGCAGCTACCGGATCTCACATAGGCTGGACGTCACCCATCTTGCCAATACTGAAGTCAACTGATTCCCACGTCCCCATAACGTCTGACGACGCTTCTTGGATTGCTTCTTTTTATCTTTTGGGTACCATTCCCGGATGCATCGTGGCGGCCTTAATCGTAGATCGATTAGGTCGGAAGATAAGCCTGCTGCTAAGCGGCATACCTCTGACTCTCTCATACATTCTGATCATTAAAGCGCAGAATCCTTACGTTCTTTACGCTGCTCGCGGTATCGGTGGTATCGGCCAAGGCATAGCGTACGTCATCTGTCCGATGTACATCGGCGAAATCGCCGATAAGGAGATTAGAGGTACCCTCGGTTCCTTCATCAAGCTGATGGTAACCTTCGGAGAATTATATGCTCATGCAATCGGACCATTTGTCTCGTATTGGATACTTGGTTACAGCTGCCTGGTGATCCCGCTGATATTTTTTCTTAGCTTTCCTTGGATGCCCGAATCACCGTATTATTTATTAATGAAGAATCGCCCAAAGAACGCAATGATAAGTCTGAAACGTCTGAAGCGCTGCATTTCCAACGATCAACTGGAGACGGACTTGGAACAAATACAGAAGACAGTTGTCCGAGATCTCAGCGATCGTGGCCGATTCTGGGATCTGTTCGACACGCCTGGTAACAGACGCGCGGTCATTATCAGCATCGGCCTGCAACTGATACTTCAGTTCAGTGGTATCGCTGCGGTTGAGTCATACACTCAGGAGATTCTCGAAGAAGGCGATGCACATCTGCCTGCGAGTTCCTCTGTCATCCTGTTAAGCGTGCTTCAATTGATCGCTGGTCTCGGAGCTGTGATTCTGGTTGACAAACTAGGTAGACGACCATTACTCATTACCACTTCTCTTCTAGCTGGAATTGCGCTGACCATCACTAGCGTCTTCTACCTCGTAAAGTTCCAATTCGGAGTGAATACAACTGGATACGGATGGCTGCTTCATTTCTCCGTGATATTTTATGAGTTGATCATCGCTCTGGGCCTGAATCCGCTACCCTACATGATGCTTGGCGAACTATTTCCGACGAACGTCAAAGGCGCCGCTGTGTCGTTGGCCAATGTAGTATCTTCGTTGCTAGCCTTCATCGTCTCCAAGATGTATCAAGTAATCTCCGACAATTGGGGAGTGTACGCAGCCTTCGGCTGGTTCGCTGCCAGCTGCTACGTCGGCGTATTCTTCATTATGCTGATCGTCCCCGAAACTAAAGGCAAGTCCTTGCTAGAAATTCAGGAAGAGCTTAACTGTAAGAAAAAGAAGAAGAAAAGCGCATCATACGAACTGAAAATAAATACGATTTCTTAGATCGATAGATGCAAGTAAGACCGCGATGCTTATGAAGAATTCTCGATAATTTTTAAATGATAAAAATAAGCAATGCGCGTTCCTCGATTACAGAATATTTGACAGGGAACTTCGAAACTGATCGCTCTTCCAGTTATATGTCCAGATCGATAAAAGCGAACGAGAGATATTTTCAACAATCATCGATAAGATTAATTATAATATTTGCACTGAAAATAAGAGTCTGATAATAGCTATCAAATGTTGAATGAAATAATTTTAATTAAATGTTCAAATAATGTAACAAAAAGTGATTTTACTTTTTAAATGTTCGATAAATATTACTAAGCATAATGATATAACCAACTAACATTTAATAATAATTACAAAATATTAAAAAAAAAAATTATTTTTTGGTAAATTAATCGAATATTTAATTGAAATTATTTCATTCAATATTTAATTATTATCAGATTCTTTTTTCACAGCGTGACTAAGCACATAATTGGATTATCGGTTCAACAAAGTATGAATGAAGTTAATGCAACACTATTTGCAAATTTTAAATGATAACAAGGCATTACTATTTGCAAAATTTGAATGAAAAGAAACATTACTGTTTGCAAATAATTTGAAAGAACAGGAGAGCACATTCCCTGTCAAAGGATTTACAAGCTCTTTTATATAAGAAATTTGAAAGAAAATTTTCAGAAATGTTATTAGGCATAAGATCTAGCCACGATTGTTTAAAAACCTTTTTTAATTGCGTGAAAATTTTAAGAATCTCTATTGCTAGTTACCGAGTCTTTTACATTTTGATTTGAATCTGTTATTACAGAAACTTATTTTTTTTATTTTCTACACTTTATTGCAATTGAAATGGAATTTGAATATAGTTTAATCAATATTATAGAATACGAACGAAAGATCAAAGAAAAGCTAGTTTATAAGATTTTAGTATTTAAGAAAGGGCCCTTATATTCCATTGAAGAAGGCGCTTCGATTGAAGTAATGAGACCGCTAAAAGAGCATTTGCCCGATCGAGAAATTATCATAGTTATAATTAGACAGAAACTGCAACTCGTGATATATATATATATATGTATATATATATATAAAATGATGCATATTTGTTTAGATTACATTTACAATTCAAATACGCAAATAAGCGTTTATCACTTGTACAAACGTTATATTAATTTAATACCTCAACTCAAATATCTTAATTCAAAAACGTATGTTGGACTACGCAGAATTTTGATAGAAAAATAATGGCATAAGTTTTGCGCTGTTACTCTTTGTTATCATTAGCAGCACGTGGAAATCAAGTTTTTCATTTATATACAAGTAGAATAAAAGATTTTAGCGTACACAGCAGATGCGGAATCAGCAATAATGGTCTGAAGCATATTTTTATGTGTCAAAGCAAACGTGTTCTCAAAGAGCCGATCATTCCAATTGCTGTGTTCGCTAAACGTTTTCTGCTTTTGTGGTAATAATACAGCTTATTTGCTGCGTCGGTTTTGAAACGTCAGCTCGATCGGCAAAAGTCTCGATTTAGCGAAGAAATCTCAGCCGAGAATAATGCGAATTTACAGTGTGTCCGATGGTTTCCGAAGAACCGCTTTAAAGAAATCGTTTCTTCAGAAGCCATCGCGCATCGACACATCCAACGTGCGTTAGCTGAGGCCCCGAATTGTAAGAGCAATCTTGCACACACACACATGACCATCTTTTTTCCCTTTTAGGCAGGGTTAAACTAAAGAGACTGATAGTTTTTAATTAATCGTAAAGTATTTATTATCGCCCTGGCCGAGCTCCGAACAGGCAAAAGATTTTCGCGGGAAATTTCATGCGTGAAGAATCCATCGCTTTAATTCCGCGTATATCTTTTATGATATAAAACATCCTTGAATAATTTTATATCTTAAACTTGTACTGAACTTGAAGAATCTCTTTCTGACACAAGAAAAATAAAGAAATGAAGACAAGAAGAAAAATAATAAAACAAATATATAAAGAATCTCTCTAAAGAGGAGCAAAAGAAAAGGAAAGAAGAAGCGGCAAAATCCTGTTCGGCGCGATACCATGGCGATTAGGAACATCTTTCTTATCCCTTTAAGGCAGGGTGTAAAACAACACGTGATATAACGCTTACGATTAAACGTTATTAAAGAATAGCGCGTGTGATCCGCCCGTGTCTCATGCAGATACGAGCGCACGCCTATGGCCCTGATGCAAGAAGGATTTAGACGAGCACTGTGGCATGACTAACTTATATTTCCCTTTCAGGCAGGGTGAGACATATACGTACGTTATAGAAATAGCTTCGGCGTAGAATATAACTGGCCCGTTATTAGAGTTAAAGAAAACACTCGCGCACGTTCCGACAAAACGTTGCGTTATAAACTTACCCGGAGTATCCGTGCGTAAATGGTCGCCAATAATAAATGATAGTTTGGCCGACATGGAAAGATGGCTTTCATAATCGGACTAACGGCACTCCCACTCAAGGGAAGGTTTATTCTTGTTCTTGCCGACGCGATCCACCTGTTACTGATATTATAGAACACTGCTACAAGGAATGTAGTAGTGTTTGACAAGTAAACGGCCAAAAGCGTATGAATGAACATCACGTTACAGAAATAATTCATGGATAGTAGTAGGTCATTCGTCTTTATAATTATGGCTACGTTGTACGCGCGGGGCACTTCATGGAAAGAACGATTTTGCTGAAGTATCTAAAAATTTATACATTTCTAATATTCTAAATCATTTCATCTATTATACGAAACCTTTGATATTATAAACCAATATATTAATTAATACCTATATTAATTAATATATTAATATATACACTTGAAATACAAATTGTGAGATATATTAAAACACTAAAAGGATTCTTAATACATATATATTAGAATGTGATGATCAGAGATAAATATATATTTCAATTACTGAACATTTTAGTCTATATTAACGAATAGATTTGATAGTAACTATTAAATTAATTATTAAAAGTACAAGAAAGTTAACCTTCACTGTGTATACGTTTTTTTAATATTCATTAAGGTCTAATTTCACAACTCACGGTTAACTCTTAACCGAAGTTCAATTTATTTCTCATCTCTTTTCACTTCTAACATTAGAAAGAGATGAAGAATAAGTTGAACCTCGGTTAAGAGTTAATCATTAGTTATGAAAGCTAAATATGGGAGTCATTCATGTCCGGAGTATTTTTTTAAATGGATTAAGTTAAAAAAATATTTAAAAATTCATGTAACTTTCTTAACTATTTTAAATGAAAAATTTATACATAATCTAACAAATCTATTTATTATTTTTTTTTTATATTTTATTTTTGCAAATATGTAAACACAAATGTCTGTATGGTAGTGATACAAAAATTTGTAACTTTTGATCAAATTGATAAAATCTAATAATTAAAAGAGGAAAATAAAATTCAAAATTTTAAGAAAAAAAAATATGTCAACAAATTTTTTTAATTGGTTTACTTTTTAAAGGCTTAAGTTCGGGACAAAGTCTTGCAATTTCGAAACTTAAAAAATAAGCATTCTTATGAAAAATTAACATTTAATAATTTAAAAAAACTCATTTTTTTCAAAATTTGTAATCTTATACACTTTCGTAAATAAAAAAATACATACGGGATGACATTGTATTATAAAATAACGAAAAAATCTCTTATAATGTCATCTTTTCTGCAGATTTGACATTTTTATTCTAAGATATCATTGAATAAAAATTTTTTCGTTATTTGTATGTGTTTTACTTATAACAATAGCCAAAAAACGCGAAAAAAATTATTTTTTTATTTGTATGACAAATATGAATTGAGTGTATACGGGGATTTCTGTCTTTGTTTGATTTTGCAGTTACTCAGCGAGAAAATGATATCTATTGCTTTCACGGGTATCTTCCTCCACCCACGTTTTTTTAAGAACAGAATGGCTCCTGTATACTCACTTGTTTTCAAAATATTCAGAACTATAACAATCGCCTAGACATAAATGACCCCCATATACATGATGAGGGTCAAGTTAGAGTTATTGAAAAAAAGTAACTCTAATTCTAATTTCGTTACAAATAACGAGTTACTTGTCAACCCTGATTATTTTGATGGTTCAACAAAATTATTTAATTAATTATTTAGCTAAATTTTTAAATACTTTAATAAAATCGTCCTTTCGTGTTATTTGATAAGCTTACATCTTATTAACTCGAGTGTCAAGTGTATGTTCACGCTATTGCTGACTCTCTACACGTCCCTTTCAGGCAGGGTTCAAATGTTAATCGAACTCCACCTCGACTTTACAGATTTCTACAATGTAGAAGTTTGCAATATCCGTTAACAAATAAAGAAACTCACCACTTTTATCTGCAGCTATACCGAGTGAGCTTTTTTCTTGCATCCTCCCTCGTGCACAATCTTGCATTTCTCCTCTCGTTTTCTCCTCTCTTTTCAGATTCATTTTCAGGAGGCAGCGCGATTCGGTAAAAGGTCAGTAAAGAGGCAGTTGCAAACCGGACAACTAGTATGTATATTTTTGCATTATAATAATTTCGTTATACATAAACGTTATTACAATATAGAAACATAAATTTTTTTTTTATAATATCTCATCCATTGTAACATCTCAAAACGCCTCGCTATGATACACACCTCGTGTGGTCAAGATTATTATATTACTACAATCCCTGGCATAAAATCTCGTCAGCGTGCCCGGAATACATCACTCGCGTGACTCTTTTCCTTGAATAAAACACGCGTGCCTCGCGTACGAGAGCGACAAGATGAAACTTGCACACAGCTTTTTATCCCGCTTATTTTACGTTACGCACGTTGCCCAATTTTACCGAAAAAAAAAATCGCAGGTTTATCTGCATGCATATTTTATAGTATTCAGACCGCAAAACTGCTTATTAATATGCATTATATTAAAAAGATTATTTCGCATCATAAAAAAATGAGGAAAATGATCGTTTTGAAACCTGCTAGGCTCTCAGTGTATATTTAACTGAGGATTTTGGCGTGATAAAAAATAAAAAATATAAGACAGGTTTTTTCTTCATATTGAAAAAAACTATAATGATTTTTGCATTCTTTTTAGGAATTGTTATCTACATTACATGCACTGAAAAATCCATTTAGTTGAATCAAGTAATTTCTTGTTTCGATATGGGTAAACAAAATCCTTGGTTGCAATAAAATAATTTAGTTGAAGCAGAACATTTGGTTATTGTAAC